TATTATTCATGTGTTTCTGTATTTGTAAACTATGTTTTATACATATACTGTTCATGTATTTATGTTTTAGAAAGGAGGACTGGTTTCTATGGCAGGTGAGCCCAATGAAGAATGGTTTGCCCCTCAGTGGATCTTGGATACCATACCTCGACGTTCCCCATTTGTCCCACAAATGGGAGATGAGGTAATTGATACCTGTTATAAACTTTTTCTTTTGAAACCTCAAGAGCACTAACTTTAATCAGTTTTAGAACATTTATATTGATAATTCTATTATATATACACTATCTTAGCTCTTCTGCTCAATTCTGTATTTCTTATGGAAGGTGACTGAACCTTATTAATCTTCGCATCCTTTGTAGGGTTTGGCACAGTGTCGTCAATACATTAGATACTCAATGAACATTGAGATAAATTGATTTGGTTGTGAAATCATGAAAATGATTGGCTTTATTTTCATCTGAATCGTCACATAGTAGAATTGAATGGTAATTTGTATCCTCATTCAAGTTCTAATTTAGTTAAAAAAAATTACAATGTGATAGAAAATATACCAGAGGATAATTACCCCTTTCAGTATCATTTCACAAACAGGGCCTTCTTAATGAGCCTGTGATTGAATAACATAGTCATATTTATGATTGGTGAGTCAAGAATTAATTAAGATTCTACCTGGTGAAAAAATTTTCATTTTCTCGTGAAAATTATGGTAACATTAGCATGTTAGAGATCTACTTGGCTTGTATAGTCTCTCATATATTGACTAATCATTAATTTTTGAATGATTAAATGTTTACACATAGTTTTTAATTCAAGACCAATAGTAGAAATGTAGTATTATCATCACAATAAAAAAGGAGCAAAACCTTGCAAATAGGTTATGACAATTTGGGGACAAATAAAAATTCTACCAAACTTTTCTGTAATTGCCTGTTTTGGAGGTCTTAGAGATAAATATCAAATAGCCTTATGAATAAGCAGTTACTTGCTGATTATCTCTGGATATTATTTAAAATGTTTATTTTTACAAGTATGTCTTTTTATAGTATTGGACTTTTTAGCAAAGCTTGTTTGCATTGTTATATCAATAAACATGTTCTGATGAATGCTGTATAAAAATTTAGAGAACTTTTTTGCATATCCAAAATCACTATTTCTTATTTTTAGTGCCTTTTTTATGGAGGCATAAGAGGAATAATTTTCAATTAATCTTAGAAGACTTTACAGAACAAAATAAGAAATCTATATACTCTAAGGTCTGATGAGATTCCTCTATTCTATAGGACCATTTTTCTCAGTTTATACTTTGGTGGGATCACTTTCTATCTATTTTGTTAAAGTTACTACATCCTTATGTGCTTCAAGACTAATGTGTATTAGGTGCAGAAAATTCTTCATGTAATAAGGAAGGTGCATAAGTGAATCAGATGGTACAATATGTCAGTTAAGGAATCTTTTCAAGGAATGCATAAGGGCAAAAATATGCTATTTATATAATTGATTTCTTAATGACAGCATTACTTTTTACTTCACCTTAACATTAAGCCTTTATTATTTTGCATAGAATGCCACTACTCACAATCATTGCCTCTCTAAATGCTAATTTTCAGGGTCTAACTCAAATGCCAACTTCTTCTAGATGTCAGCCCTGTTTTTATTTACCTGTCTCTCCTTTCTCATGAGTTTTTCTACCTAAATTATTTCTCTCTTCTCATATAAATGTTATAGTTATATTTCTACATGTGTGTCTATATCCTTGAGGGAAATGATTTTACTTTTATTACTTATCACATAACACTCAGTACCTTGTACATAAATGTCTAATGATCAATGTTTCCTGAGTACAGGAAATGAATATATAATAAGGGATATCTTAATAATATGATTATTAGCCTTTTAACTCCTACAATTATTTTATTAATATCTACTAATACTTAAAGTTTTTTCATTTTCTAGTCATATTTTTAGCTGTTTGAAATTCTGATGTAGA